GGGCTGCTCGGAGACCCGGGGGCGGGGGTGCTGCAAGGGCAGCGCGGGCGGTACCAGCCGCAGCCCCAGGGGTGTTTCCACTGGAGGTGGGAGGAGAGGTTGGGGTAACGGGGGAGCACCCCCGAGCCCAACGGAGATGCTGACAAATTTTAGGCAAAGCACCGAGAGCATCGCGGTGGGTCCGCACGACCTCGTCGCTGCAGGCTGGACGCCAGCCCTGTGGGGTGCATGTCGTGGGCTTGAGCGCTGCAGCCTGAGCCACGCATAAAGGGAACAGCGGAGGGTGGAGTAGTTATTCCAAATCTCGGCCGCTGGACACAGTTCTGGATGAAGTGAAGGGCTGAGACCCTGCTCCTCTCCTCCTTGGCTATTCCAAGGAGGAATCTGTCTCTACCCCCTATACTCCAGAGCTGCTGCCTGGAGAACAGGGACAGCCTCTGTGCTCAGGTATTTGTCATGAAGAGGCAGAGGGGTAGAGGAAAGCAGCTGGAGGGGCAGTAGTGGAAGGTAAGCTCTTCAACAGGCCTTCAGGAGTGAAAAAAGCCAGTACCCGGGCAAGAGCACAAAAACTGAGCAAAAGCATGTGGTGCTTCCACCTGGCTCCAAGTATCTGCAGCTCAGTGGAGTCACCACTCTCCATCTCTAAGTCAAAATGCATTTCTTTTCCAGAAATGTCTCACATCCTCTTGAACCAGCATAAACCTTCTGCTTCTCTAGTCCACTGTGGCAAGGAGTTTCCCAAGCAGTCGCCTGCTCCACCTACACCTGTATTTACAGGCTTCACGTAACACCCCAGCTCTTGTATTTGAAGAGAGTGAAGTCACTCTCCATGTCACTGTAGTTTTATGTCTACCCTGTCCTCTCTTGGGCACCTCATTTTCAGATAGAGGGGTCCAGCTTGGCTGAAGGTGGTCCAGACCTCTGGTATCCCCAGGGCCTTTGCAGAGTGTGTTCCAGTTCTACTGCACCCTTCTCGGGATGAAGGGACCTGTGTTTGTGTGCTGGTGCACCAGTGTCTTCACAGCAGTAAAATGTTTTTCATTTTCTTCTCTGCTCCCTTCCTAATGTCTCATTTGATTTTCTGATGGCTACTGAGCACTAAAGCTGATGGTTCCATGGATCCATCAGTCATCACCCCAAATGTCACTCACTCCTGAGTGGTAACGGTCAACCCAGAGCCCACCATGCAACACCAAGGGCTCCCACCTGCATAAATTCACCCTTATCCACACAGAATCAACCTCCTTACATGGGGGTGACCTCACTATCCTCCTCATCAGCTCAAGTTATAGAAAAACAAAGCAGGAGACAGGACTTGTCCCTTTCTACCACCCATCATTCACCTTCCTACAGCTCATGGGTGAACATGGGGCTGACACACCATCACAGCTCTGCCATCAGCCACCTTGCACCAGAACAGGGAACTCTATCCTCTCATGCATCCCCTCTCCACATTGCTTCTGGCACACAAGGAAGGAACAGGGCAGGAACTTAAGGTGCAGCTCCATGGGTGGCTGAAGCCACCTGAGCTGCCACCAAAGGGGTACCCAAACACATGTTCCTCAGGCACCAGTTGAGAGCTTGGGGGCTGCACAGACAGTTGAACCAAGGAGCTAAGGCAGCCAAAAATCCAGTAATCCTTCGCAGCACTTCCAGCTCGTTTGGATCACTCTCACCAGGTCTGACCCCAGCCCAGCCATCACCAGCAATAACACAACCACAGTAGCACAGGCACAGCCAGTGCTGTAGGAAGGTGTCACCCTCTAGTGACACAAAGGCATTTGGCTTGAAAAAATATCTGTGTATCCTCAGCATTGTATGCCCAGCAATGCTTCATGGGAGGGCTGAAAAAGTTTTCCTCTGCTGAAATCATGCTGACCAAATACTCCCTGATCATGAGCTATCCCAGGTACTTTGTTCCTTTAAGATAACCTGTTTCACCAATTAACCATGTCTGACCACCCTGCCACTCTCCACCTCACACAGAAAGCCTTTCTGAAACACAACCTGAAGGCATGGAAAATTTCAGCTTGGATCAGCTGCCTGGCAGAGCCACCCGCAACCAGATGGTGGGAGCAGGAAGCCTAAGAGCTGCTGTTGTCATGGCAGTACTGGAGCAGCCCGCTGTGATCCTGCTGCAATCCCCAGCACCAATTGCCCCAGGAGAGACAGCAGTGGAGATGGCACTGACCAGCTCTCCTGGCTTGTGGGGAGCTCTGAACCAAGGTGGGCTCTACTCTTCACAGCACAGGGCAGCAAAGCAGGGCTGAACCCACCAGAGCAACCCGACCTGCTCAGTTAGCTGCCTCCAACCTTCTCTAGCCACACCATTGGCTCTACTGCTGCTCCAGCAATGCAAGAGTGCTCGTGTCAAGGAAGGGGGGGGGTCCTTCTGGGAGGCAGCACAACCCCCCAGCATCCAGTCAGTCTCCTTTCCTGCAACAGGACCCATCATTCCCCCCGCCTTCCTCATCCTCACCTCAGGAAGCAATTTCCTTGCTAAAGCTCTGGCCACACACAGAGCAACATGGATGCCTTCTTCACCCGGGAAACACCAGAGACACTGTCTGTACATGTCCTCACAGGCAGGATGAAGGTGTTTCCAGAGGGGAATGTTGCCCACTCTGCTCCTTGCCATTTTAGCAGTCGACTGCAGGGCTCCCAGCTGAGGGTCAAGTGGCAACACAGATCAAGGTGGCTCATGGGGATCCTGCAGTGGTGCAGGTCCCACATCAGCCCACTTTCCAGCTGTGGATTTTCATCCAGGAGGGGGAGACCCCACAAAAGCAGTGCCTCTTGCTGCCAGCTCCTGAATCACAGTAGCATGTTCTGGTGGGGAGGAAACACCCACCTATGATGGAAACAGGAGAGGGTCTCAGCCCTGAATTTGTAAAAGCTTCATTGGTCCTTGTAGCTGCTGATCTTCTGTGTTTGTCTACAGTAGCAGGCAACTCCATGACCACCTCTCCCTACCAAAAGGGACACCCACAAGCTTTTCTAACACCTCTGCAGGTTTCCTTACTTTAGGTGGTTCTCCAGCTCCACAGCTGGCTCGCTCTAGCTTCAGTGATCTGCTTTCATGTGGACATAAGGGCTCACAGTACCTGCGCAAAGGGTACCGACCCATTTCCCAGCCTCAGTAATTAACAGCATATCGAGTCTTCTCACGCTGCCTTCTGCTATGAAAAGAGATTGCTGCAGTAATAGCAGAGGAGGCAGGCAAGAGCAAACAGTAATGTGAAAGAGATGTCTCCCAAATACAAGCCTTGCTCTGGAAATGCCAGAAAACAGTGACCCAGGTGTAATCAAAGCCCTTCCACACACAATGGTCCAAGTCTTTGAGCCACCCCCAGCAGCTTCTCTGACTTGAACTCCATCTGTGAAGAACTGACTGCTTACTGACTCTCCCTTGCACCACCCCATTTCCTACATGCAGCCAACATTGCACACTGCCTGGCACCAATACATTTCTTACACACTTGAAGCAATCTTTTACCAAGTTTTCAGCAAGTGCCCCAACTTGTTCTGTGCACCGAGTCCTGGGGATGCAACTCAGGCTCTTGGGGTCATCAGCTCAGCCCTGAAAAGTCTCAGAAATGCTCAAGGTCCCCCCCGCAGCTTTAATCTAGCACACCCCAGACCCCACGCTCATCAAGCAGGGATGGGACAAACGTAATTGCAATCACTGACATTTAGAAAGCTGCAGCCCCAGAAGGCAGGACAGAATATTTTATTTGTCTCCATTTGGAAACTGGTTTAAAGTAACAAAGCAAAAGCTCTCAAGTCTTCTCTGCTATCTGAGTTGGGTGGGAACACTGCTAACATCACAGTACAGTAATGCTCAAAATCCTCCTTAATAAAGCCAATGCTGGTATCTGCCTAGAAGTCTCTCTGGGAAGGGTCTGCCTGTTTAAGAGGCTGCTTCTGCTTCAACACACACAGAAGCATCTTCTAGTAGATAAACCTTGGACTTTTTCTCCCCAGCTGCCAACCATCTGCCATGGTGAGGCGGCACCGGATGGCAAGGCCACTTTGCCTCCCTGTCCGATATGGCAGCTACTGACCTCTCCCATTCCCTACTGAGACACTTGCTCCTCCTCCTCAGATCAGAAGAGGAGATTGCGATTTGGAGATCACATTGCTCAACTGTTCAGCTTGACTCACCTAAACACAGGGGTCACCCATATACAGCTGGGCTGGGTTTGCTGCCTGGCCCAGTCTCCCTTGGCTTAGTAAATGGCCTCACTGACACTGCAGGCTGTACGTGGCAGATTAATGCCCTCCATCATCTCTCATCTTAGCAAGATGTGCAGCACACATCTTGCTCTGAGGACCAGAGAGGCAGTCTGATGCTCCCCAACCACTCCCCTGCTCCTGAGTGTCTGCTTGCCCCAGCTCTAAGGTTATCTAAGGGCCTCAGCTATTTCTTCTACAGCCAGTAGCCTCTTCCTGACACAATATAAAGCAAATGCATTAACAGTCTATTCTTTAGAGAGAAGTCAGAAGAAAACTCTGGAAAGTAAACAGCAGATTTGCTCATTCAGGAAAAAGCCTTCTCAGAGTTGGATTCCTTCTGTTGTAACTTCCGAATCAACTCCAGTAAATTCATCTGTAAAGTCAGCTCCTGCAAAGGAAAAGAGACATTTTTGCAAGAATAAGATGATCCCATTCCCTGCTGCAGGAAGGAGAAAGGACTGGTTTGTACCATCCACTCAAGAGATCCTAATCTTCAAGGAACAAAAGAAAAAACATACAAACACAAAACAAAGCCTTCATCTTGTTTAAGCATTTCTACAAAATACAGAGCAGTAATATTCTAAGAGAGCTGCTGCAAACTGCAGCTGTCTTAGGAATACCAGAGCTTTACGATTCATTAAGCATTCAGAAAGGTTCGTTCTTCTTGACCATGATTTAGTGATAAATGCCATGAGGGCCAGCCAGTTCTGCAGGCTTCCTCTTCTGGAGCAGCCTCCAGGAGCTGGCCAGCAGCATCCCCTTGCACATACACAGCCACACACCCCAGAGGAGGTTCTCTGGGTCGGCACAGCTCCCTCCCCTCATCCCTCAGCAGCAACTTCAACACCCTGATCATTTTCCAGCACAGAAGGGCAGGAAGCAGGAGAGATCACTTTGGGTACTCTAAGTGGAATCTAAGCCATGTGCAACACACTGCTGTGCTGGTGCATCAAGTCCCCCCTAGGTATTTCATTCCCCTTCAAAAACTCCCTTTTCTATGACTGTAATCAAGTGGAGACCACCATCTCCTGTAGCCACCAACATCAGCTTATGGTTTCCTTACCATCTGCTTGTTCTTTACTCGCATTTAGCTCACAAGCCATTTAGCACACAGACTACACAGTGGAGTAGCTAATTCAGTGAACCCTGTTCTGTGACTCAGGCTTGCAGACATTACATTATGGAAATAAAAAACTATTTTTGTAAAAATATATCAACTGCATGAGCAGGCATTTTATACAACAGACTGGAAGGAAACACATCAGCTGATAGGAAATGCATGGAAAACAGATTCCAGCAGTGATTTTTTTATATGATGGTGGCATTCACAGGTACAAGCCAAGGTCTAGGTCTGGTTTGCCAGTTATCGTAAAGGCAAACACAAACAAAACCCAGCAAATAGGAACCCTGTTAAGAGTTATTACTTACAAAAATAACATAAAAGGCAGGGGCAGGAGGGGAGAGAAAGAGCTGCTTTCATTATACAGATGAGGAACAGCAGCACAGGAAAAATAGGAGGCTTGTTCAAGCCTACACAACCAGGAACCATGTGGGTTTTAGAAAATGCCTGTTTAACTAACTTACTAAGCTGTCTGTTCTCACTAGTAGGTCTTTATCAAAGTGACATTTAATCAGCTGAAAAAACAGAGTTAAGAACAGCCTGTTTCTCCATTCCCTGCAAACTTCTGTGGCATTACAATGAGACTTTGGAATTTTTATTTTTTCATTCCTGCAGTGGTGTTAAGACAACAGAAAAAAACCCAGGTGATTGCTCACAAGTTTTAAGAGCGGATGCAGTGAGGAAACTGAGAACAATTTTCTAATCACAGTCTGAGATCATCATCTCCAGCAAGTCACATGCAAGAATTAACAAGATGCCTAATAAAAAGACTTCTTGAAGACAATTTGTACAGCTAAGCTAGGTACAAAAGCAATAAGCCTACGCAGCCACTTTAGTATTATTCAGACCCATTCAAGAGTCACAGGACTGTAGGCTGTTGACACAGCGTTTCTTCCCTCCACACTGGGAAAGATATTGCAGAAAGCTGGGGATGTTGCCCCGTCTAATGGGTTTTCGCTCCTTTGTTATGAATGTAGTACTAGGTCCACCTAGGGCACATTGCCTCATCAGCTGGTGAGGCAAAGGATGGATCATTATTTCTGACCCAGTGATTCAGAATTCATTAAGAGCAAGATAAAAAAAAATATATATATTAACACAAGAGTACTGTCAGATTTTACAATCCCTGCCTAGACACCAACCTGTGGGTTGGTGGTGATGTAGAAGCCAGACACCCCAGCTTTCTCCAGAGTGCTCTGTTGGTCTATCACTTTTTGGTCCAGTTCCAAGACTATCTTCTCATCCATCATTCGCTGTTCCTCTCGAATTCGTTGCTCCACAGCCTGAAAAAGATAACAGTTGACGGAAAAAAAAGTGGAATACCTACCTTCCTGCTACCTTTTTCTCATCTCTCAGTCTTTTACTGAAACCCAAGAGTGACTAGATCCTGAAGCACTCCTGCTCTGATGAGTCCCAAGGACAGCAGAGGGCAGCAAGCACAGCCCCAGATCTTACCTCCTCCACTTGCCATGTCTTATATCAAAGCTACCACTCCAGAAAATGCAGGGAAGTCACTGGGACCAGCCTGCTTTCTGTGTGTTTGGAGGCCAGGAAAGACCACAAGCAACAAATCAGTGTCTGAATGACTTTTCCTGATGAGCCAATGTCTGAGCAGCAGGCTGTGGCTGAGCACTCCAGAAGCATGGGCTCGAAAAATATCAGCAGTCCAAGAACCGCATACCCTTCACAGGACTGCTGAGGCTGCAGAAAGACTTGGAGGAATAAAATAGGCCACTGAAGCTCATCAAGGTGCCTACTCAGATGCCTCCCTGAGCCTCCATGTTCCCTGGACATTAACGCACAGAGGTGGAGCTGTAAGTCACCCCCAGATCCCATTTATTCACTAAAGGAGCTGAACTCCTCAAAAAACTAAGCTTGCAACTGGAACGCCAGTTTATTTTGTATTGACAACAGCAAGCTGAAGTCTCGCTTGGGACTACAGTGTGCTGGAGCTCTATTTTTGGCAGACTGAGAACATTATCAAACAAGGACTTTGCAAAACAGCCCCAACCAAGAAAACACAGCCCCTGCTGCCTTACCAACATCTGCTGAAACCTCAGCAGAGAAACCCCTGCATTACCTCTGCAGAAGAAATGGAGCACAGCAACCATGTGCTACATCAAAGGCACGCTGGAAATCAGGAGTGGTGGGCATGCTCTAGGAGCACTTGCATGCTCTGCTAGCTGCAGAAAGGGGCACTGCTAGTCAGCTCTGGAGGAAACCTCAACCTAGCAGAAACTCTGCTGGAGAGGGGAAAGAGAGCAGAAGGATTGCAGAGGATGAGGAGAGCCCAGCTCAAATAAAAAGCCATGTGTGTGTGGAGGCGAGGCAATACAACCTTACCAGGCTGCACAGAGCAACAGATTCTTCTGCAAGCCACAGGGCAAGTCAGGAAGCATCAAATCCCATCTAAATACAAAGGAAGGCTCCTTCTCTTGCAAGAAATAAATGGCACAAGTTTCAACATCTTACTCATGCAACGCTGATCCTTTGTAACACAATAAGCAGAGGCAGGCATTTAGCTGGGAACATTCGCAGGGATAAATTATCCTCACTGCACAGAAAGGGAGAAGTCACAAAGTCTGGGATTTCCTACACTAGTGACTAGTGGTTTAAGAGACCTGGGCAGATCCATCTTAGAAGAGAACCAAAAGTTTGAGTGCTGCTACAAGTCCTGGGGAAAATCCAGAATTCCAGTTACAGAAGTCTTGGTCCTGAACAGTCTGGAGAAGAGCCAAGATTTGTCTCCAGCACGGACATTATCAGTGGCTGTCTGCAAAAGGCCTGACCTAAACCAAGAGCAATTAATACTTACATGGGACAGCAGCTACCTCATGTAACGTTTCTTGGATGTACAGCAGTCACTTAGTGTCTTACATTTTTAATTATGTCCAGAGGTTTGGGAAAGCTTTGCAGAACTACACGCTATTAAGGAGAGCACAGGACTGTGATCCACCAAAAGATTAAGATACATCAGCTGCTCCACAGAAAACACTTGGGACAGGACCTTATTAGAATAAATGTGAAGAAATTCAAGACACCTTAAGCCCCAACAAAAGGCGAGGTAGAGGGGCTAATTGCCTCCTTCACTATGGGATACTAATGAACCTAAGAAAGCTCTGTCCTTATGCATTCTTCAGTCTAGACGTTCACACTCTTTGTGGAAGATATGAAGGATCCCTCGTTCCTCAAAGACCTCCTTCCTCCCAGCTGCCTTGGGGGAAGGAGGAGGCACCACACCATTGTCCCCTCCACCTACTGTGCTGGAGGAGTGACTTTCCTTTGGTTTGAGAAAAACCAATTTAAGTGCCTACATACTCACATAGTGCCTACATACTTACACCTGATTCTGGGCTACAGAAAAGTGTCAAAATCTTGGAGAAAAATAAGGCTTAAACACAAGCTTTTGCTTCAGTTCTCGTGGCTAGGCACCCTGTATGACGGGCAAAGCTTTTTTAAATACTATGGGTTCCACTAGGAAGTCAGACATCTAAAAACTACATCTTGTATTACCCGCCCTGGGAGCCCAATCCCAAACTATCACATGGGAGCTGGTCTTTGAAACCTTTAACCACAGAGGGCAGCTCTGATTAGACACGTACCAATTGTTACTGCGATGACTGATCTATTCCCAAAATGCTCTACAGCAGAAATATCAGAGCATAAAAAAAGGGAAGAAGTAACTCTAATAACACCTGACAGAGGAAAACAGAAGATAAAGGCAGGGAGAAGGTGGAAGGAAGTAGGAAGAAGTTGCATATCATGTAAGACAAGGAGAAATGACACATATATGGTCTACTTAATGAGTGAAGACAACACTGCTTTAAAACAGGCAGTATAGCTTATTACTTGCTATAAGTTACTTAGAGACAGAAGTAACAGGGACAGCTAATTGAGGTCCAGCCTGGCTTTGGTCACCTTGATACAAAACAAGGGACGTGGAAACACCAAAACAAGAGATAAAACAGAGAGCGCCAATGCAGTGCTTATCATGGGCAGAGGTCAGGAAAGAGCCTGTATTTAAACAGTTATCTGTTTGCCTTACGTGGAGTAAAGTATCTCCCCCTCTACATTTAAACTCCATCAATTAAGATAACTAGCTACTTGCAATTTCCTTTACCTTATAAAACTGCCTCTATTGTATCGCTAATATAAGTCCTTTGGGACTGAACGGGCCACTTGTGCTGAAGTGCCTTTCTCCAAATGCCTCGGGATGCTCAAAGAAATTATTTCTATGCTTATGTATCTCAAGGCAGTTCCTCCTCATCAGTGCCACTAAGTAAAATGTGATTTTGTGAGTATTCTCTGCTTTCTGCTTGCTATGACATAATGGCAGATTTCACATACCTTCTCCGTGTTTTCTATCAACTTGCTCTCCATCTGTATACAGGCTTCAGCCCGTCTTATAACAAAAACTTGTTAAAGCATTGTGGAGAGTATTGCTTATTTGGAGTGGGCTCCTGAACTGCCACGATTCTCAGAGCATGCCTGGTCCACAGCTATCCTAGATGTCAAGAGCCTGCACCCCTGACTCCTGGGGGGACAAAGGGCAGAGCAAGAGGACGGAACCCCCAAATCAGGGTGGGGAGCCTAGGGCTGTGCTAGGAAGACCAGACACAATGGCAGCTCCGAAGGCTGCAGAGGGCAACTAAACCCTCTGGAGATGCTGTGATGCTCCTGCGATGCAGGAGGGGTCCTGCAGCAAAGGGGCTTTGAGCCCCCCAGGGAAGGGGCACAACCTCCATGCCAGGGGAGTGCTGTGCCCTGCCCAGCCCCTCCTTACCTCCATCTCCCGCTGCTGGGCAGCACGGAGGAGTGGCAGGTTGTGGGGCCTGCAGCACTGCTGGGCCTCTTTGTGCCGGTGGAAGAGCTCCTGCTTCAGCCCTGTGACAGGGACAGGCTTGC